CTCCTTCTGTCTTTTTTCACACCTGCAGTTGCATCTTGCTGGTGCTGTCTTCCATTCTGTGCAGGACATTTGAAATGAGATTGATCTGTTTTGGGGCTCACGGCCACAAAGTTTCTGAGCAGAAGGCTTTGAAAAAATACCAAAATGTTGGCAGAAAATCATACCCGCACTAAATCTACTGCTTTCATGTTCTCCCCCTAACTATATTGCGAATGTTTTTCAACGGAAAACTTTGTTACAAGCAGATATTATATTCATCATTGTGAAAATATATCTTTGTTTCAAAAATAATTTATGTCATTAATACATTATAAAAAGCAAATCTGTATTTTTAGTTATCCAAGGTTCACAACAGAGGGAGAAGTCTTTTTATATTATTAGGCTGTTGATCACTTGGCATTCAAAATTTGTGCCAAGTGATAAACAGTCTAGGTCCGCAGACCAACCCACTTTTCGGCCAGTGTTGTTGAAGTACATCCGCTTTTCATCAAAGTGACAATCTGTTCCAGAATTTTGTCCTTCTTTTGATATTCAAGCAAATTAGTAAAAACCTGAACATGTCTGTCCTTATCTGTTTGAGTCTGCTTATGTGGCACCTAGCGATTGAACTTGTATGCCAAGTTTATGCAGTGCATAGGCGCGACTAATGCATATGGCACTAACGTCTAACTTCTTAGCAAACTCCCGAGTGGTTGAAAACTGATTTTTTTCCACAGATTCTGGCAGGCAGGACTCATCAACATCAGTAGGCCTCGCAGAGCCCTCTGCTTCTTGAATGTCATTGTCCTTGTTTTTGAACTTTCAGTACAAAACCTTCACAGTATCATATGATATAATATTAGTACTTAAAGCTGTATATATACAGGATAACTTTTTGCAAAAGGTTAGGAGCATTTTCTTATTTTTAATTAATGACATATATGAACAAAAATATATTAATACATAGTAAATTTTTGAAACATGGTTTTCAAAATTTTAATGTAAAATATATAAGAAATATATATAACAATTACAATTATTAATCAGTTCTGTAAAGAATTTAAATAAATTGCTCCAGAAATTTGGTTTAATGAAACAACTGTTTTCAAAATATATGAGTGCTTGTTGTATTAACTGCTAATGTAGTGGCTATAAAAATGCTTAAAAATAAAGTTTAATTTCTTTCCTTTCCATTATTTTGAATCTTATTCCATAAAAAAGTATGATTGTTATATGACTTAATGCATGAAGATTTTCATCAAGAAATAATGTGCATAGGTTTTATAATTTTGTATGTATTTACTTATTCATGGGCCCTTTTAAGCCCAAAGTAGCATTAGACCCAAAGGGCTATTAGCCTCAAAACGGCATAATCGTCGTTTCACTTTCTACATTGATTCACTTATCAAATTGTTGCCACCAAATATTATTGCCATGTATTATATTTAAAGAAACTAAATAATGAAGAATCTTGCATAAATGCATGGATGATGCTTGCATTGAGGAAAAATAATTGTACCTGTAAATTTTCAATAATGCTTGTCCTCCAACCAAACATGGGCACTTGGAAGTCCGAATTTTGAATTTGTTGTATTGTGTATTTCATATTTTGTAAAACTTTAACTAATTTTTTATTAACAAACTCAACAATTTCAAAGTGAGCAATGGGAGCACTGTGCGAGAAAAAACATTTTTATTTCCAGTGTGCGAGACTGTCTATCAGAAATTCTAAAGATATGCTGTTTTTAAATATTTTGTGATACTGTTGTTGAATTGAATTTTATGCGGTTTAAGTGCGAAGAACGTGATTTTTCGACTATGCGGGACTTGACAACGAAAGGGTGAATTCTCAGAACCCACGCGATTCCAGGAAACCCACATAGCTAGGTTATCATTTTCACTTACTACAAGGACTTGAATGCCAAACAGTAATCGATTATCGCTCAGCTTGGTATCACGTAATCCTTCAGAAGCAGAACTTTTGTCTAATTGTTTGATCTCTACCCGGGACAGAGCTCCAGCCGAGACATTTTTGGTAAGTTTTGAAAAAATCTGCGTAGCCACTACATGGTTTCCGTAGCTAGGCAGGACTTCGCTTCCAGCGAGGCTATTTTTTCTAGGAATCCTCCCATTTAAACCAGTGCTACCAGAAATCTCATTTCTCACAAAAGTCCTATCTAGCAAAGACTTTTGCCATATGTGATAACTCTTAACCCTTTGAGGGGCGGTACATAAAATAATTTAAATTGTGGTAAAATTTTGCATGAACTATAACTTATGGACCCTAAGGACACAAAATTGAGATTTTAAAAAAATCTAGAGTGAAATCCTAAATTTTGAGAGCCGGTATATATATATTTTATACCGCCACCCCTCTAAGACATTTTTAATTCCAGGTAGCTGCCAATTTTTGTTTTTTAAATTAATTTTGTGTACTTAGAGATGGGTGCTTAACTATGGTTATGTAAGTCTAAAAACAAAAACTTTAAAAATTTCGGTAAAAATTTAAAATTTAAAAAATAAAATTTATGTTTTTACGCACTTTGATGATGCAATTCAGCTGAACATACTTATGTAAAATATGGGTAAAAAAGCTTTTGAACTTGATTTAAATTCAATATTATTACTTTAAAAAAAAATTAGCAAATATAACACTGCATGCGTAAATCGTATCATGCTGTAACCGAACTAGTATAATGTTACAAGGAGATATAACAGCCGAAAAATAAAAAAAATTTTAAATGAAACGCTACGACTCAGATGAGAAAGTATGTTGCATTTTTGAAGTCATATTTTATGCTTTAGATAATATGTAAAAAAACCATGGTTTATGCTATGATACCAAGAATCGTCTTCCCCCCCCCCCCAAGCACACACACTTTAGATTATCGAGAACCGTAAGTGCCCCTTTTTTATTTTTTGTAAATATAGGTTGTAATATATCTTTTTGTTCAGGAAAAATGACATTAAACAACTTTATTATTTTATATACCTCAAGCTCTTATATCGATTTTCAACTCCTTTGGCTTCCTAGGGGCTCCTTTTTAAATTTTGGACAAACTCTAGTTTGCATCTCAAACGGGCCTTAGAAATATTTTTCCTCATCTGTGAAATTTATTTCAAAAACAACCTATTTGTAACCTAACCCTAAATTTCTCTTGTGTTCCCTTGTCTTTCATTTGAAATTAACAAAGACGATAAGAATAAAAGCATGCTTTCAAATCAGCAGTTTTTGTGATTACACTAAGAGATGGATCTTAAATGCACTTCCATTTCCCGTATTTTTAAGTGAGCTTTCTCTTTGTGTAATCTTATCACACCATACAAAGGAAAGAAGGCGGGACTCCGAAATGACAAATCAGTTGTCAATCACCTCCTTTCATTTTCGTTGGATTCTAGGATTTGGCAAAACACGAAGCAAAGGTGTCTTTTGTTTTGTGGGCTAGTATGCCACATTTAACCCCTACAGTTGTGTAAAAGTTTGACCCCAGACGACAATTTTAAAATTGATGATGAGTCTTTCTCTTTTGAAAGGATGAAGTGCTGAAGTTAAAATTTTAACTAAATAAAGACAAATAAAACTCGAGTAGAGTAAAAAAAGAATAAAAAGAAACATTCCATGTTTCACATGTATTCAGTCCTAGTGCAGGGTCAGTAAACTCCCCATCCCTTCATGAACATAATACTGAATCCTAAACAACTTGTAAGTTAATCATAAACAAATTATTATATCATAAACTATTATAATGTAAAGAAATGCTATCATTTCACAGAGTAGAGAAGGAGAAGCCTGGTGCTGCTATCTATTGGCCGGTATATATTATATACTGGTATTAAAAACATATATATATTATATACCAGTATTAAAAATGTATGCATAATCTTCTTTTAATTATCAGTTTTGATTGAAATGCACTAAATTTAAAAGGTTCAGCATGTGTACATCATTTAGTTACAGATTTTAAATTTTTTCTTTCCCACCAATAGAATTTATCAATCTTCAAACATGATACCTTGGAAAGTTTTATATTAATTTCACAACTGCAAAATATTGAGCATTCATTGGGTATTGCTGCCATTTAGAATCAAAAGGAAATACTTAGAAACTTACAATTATAGTTTTTGGTATAGAGAACATAACATTTTTTCGGAGGTTAAAAAATTGACAAACAGGTCTATATTGTATACCGGTGCCCTTAAAAGGGTTAATAAATAAAAATTACAACACACAAAAAGTCAAGAAAAGGTCTTTTGGGGTGTTTTTGAAAGGGGGGCCCCTTTCAAATATTTTTTATTCTTTCTTAATCTTGATTAATAACATTTATGAACTGAAAATTGTATTTAACAAAAAAAATACAATTTTCCTTTTACCAAAAGTTATATTTAAAGAATTTTACTTTGTGTTATACCTTTTTTTTTTAAACACATTTCTATTTGTTTAATAACATTAATGAAAGAAAAAACTGTGCTATATATTTTATAACTCTGATAGCCACTGTTTAAAATTTAAGCTATAAAATGGCAAAAAGATATTTATGTCACAAATAAGAACATGCTAATTACTGTTTTAAATTTTTAGAAAATGTGTTTTTCATATTTTTGTAATATGTCACTGTAAAACATGCCAATCTTAAATTGACAAAAACTATTTTTTTATTTTAATATTTTAGGGCAGGAAGTGAATATGAAATGTTTTGTATTTTTCATTCAAATGTGTGTACAAGTTGTTATAAATTAAAAATAATCAAATTCTTTAATATTTATCTGCGCAGGATAGTTTCCTTTTGGATTCTTGAATAGTTGTTAAATTTCAACTTCTGTTTAGTGCCAATATTCGTATTTAGTCAGATGGTGGATGCATGTGCCATTCTTTCTTTTTTAAATTGATGCCAAATACCATTTAAATATTTTAAGCAAAGAATAGTGATAGTTATTTTCTGGTTGGGGGGGGGAGATCTAACATATGCTTTTAGATGTCCTTCTAAATGCTTTTTTTCTCCTCCCCTCTTCCCAAACTTTAGCATTCAAGAGGCTTATGAAGACTATGCAAAAATGTTCAAGTCACATTATTCTTCTAGGAAAAGAACAATTGAAGAAAGGTAATAAGTTCATATAAATGTACATATATTTGTTTACTGGTGTGCTATGTGAATTGCCTAGGTGTTAGAATTGTGTAGATATTGTAGGCTATGCAATCTTCTATAGCAATTTACAATTTGTGTAGGTTGGATGATAGTAGACTCTTTGCATGAACGGTTTGCTTCATGAGAACTTTACTGCACAATCCATGAAGTTTTAAAATCTGATGAACATTTCTTCAATCAGTTCTGGCCTAACAGTTATTGTTATTCAGTTATTCAGGTACATTGTCTTCTTGGAAGCATCCATTGCCAAAAGCCTTGAGTTAAAATACAGAGTGGACATTTGCAATACAGAGTGGACATATGTGCAGATGATCGACTAATATCCCCATATAGTTCATACCATTAAGTACCTATGCACTTGTGATGCAAAGGTATGACAGTTAAAGACATACTGCACCATAGATGTAGACAACCATGCTTGTAATCCATAGCTTCTGATAGTGAATTTTAAATTTGCATCTACCAAGTGCATCATGTTAGTGAGTGGCAATTATGTGAATTGCCCTGGTATCCTGCTTAATATGTAAGGTTCTAGTTTGTATAGAAGTTTTAACTTATGTCCTTTGGACCATACTAGACTGACAAGAAAATTAGTGTTCTAGTCTAAATCAAAATGACGAAGTCTGACAAAGGTTAAAATAACCTTTATTAACTCTTGAAACTTAACAGAAAGCACTACTTAATGCTACAGAACTAAACTCCTCCAGTTGCAAGTACTTAAAATGCCATAAACTGAAATTCAAATTAAGTAATGCAGTTGGAGACTACACAAAGTACCTAAGCTGAAGTAAGTAATAAATGGCACAATTTCGTGATTGGTTAGCAAAACAGCTAAAGCTTGTATAAAACTTTGGTAGAGTTGCCAATAGGAAGTAAACTGAGAATGAGGTTGCCAAAAGCTTTAACTGTAAAGCATTCAAAATCCTCTGCTTAAATACTCAATAAACTAATTTGCATTCTGGTGAGGATTACAGAAAGACATTATAGTGAAGTTCCAAATCATAATAATTGGTTAATTAACATGAAATACTACAAATTTATTGCTAAAACAATATAGATCTGCAACTCCTAAAATTTATGTAAAGCAAAAAATCCTGAAAGGTCTTCTTGCTGACTAGTATTTGAAGTAAATGACCTATTTCTGTAAATTGGTTCTTAATATAATTTAAATAACGTACTACAGAAGGCTGTATAGTGTATAATATCTACATTTTCTGTAAGCTGGCATCTTCCTTAAATAATTAAATTAAGTTCTTGTGGATGTTTTTGTTTCATTGATTTTTATTAAATACTTGCATATATCTATGTAAATAAGATGCGATCTAATAAACTTAATTTTGTTGAATATATGTTTTTTTTCTTTGCAGTATCCTTTCACATGAAATTCTTTTAACACAAAAAAGTATTTCAGTCCCCTCAGTTTCGTGTTAAACGATTTTCGCTTTATACATATATGCATGCAAAAAATTGGTCCCCTACAATTTGGCTACGTAGGGATAAAGTAAATTCACTTTGGCTACATAAATGAAGTTTCATTTCAGAATGAAGTAAATTCTTTCCTTTTCATTAGTGTTGAAGTCAGAAATTTATAATGCTTTTTGAGAGGTTTAAATCCTTAATAATATAACTTATTTAATAAACCCTCAAGTACTTGAATTTCTGGAAAATTATTTTAACTTTCTGCTTTTATATAATTTTGCAGTCATTATCTTGATGGCTGTGTTGTTTCAAAAGTTTTTATTTTGTAGAAAATATAGTAGTTATATAATGGGAATATTATATTCTTTTGTATCTGTATCATTTGTATTTGACTGTTTTGAAGTTGCTTTATATGAAGAAGTGGTATGCTGTGAAAGTTACACCCCCCCCCCAAATCACTTGTCAGTTCCTGTAATACGGTATAAAATATATATTGTTTGAGCAAAAATCCCTGTAGTCTTAACATTATCTTCAGATTCTTGGAAATGTAGAGGGGGGAAGAGTTTTTGTTTATATTCCATATAAATTTGTAATCATATAATTCATAGTAATTAATTGAATTAGTTACTCAGAATTTCTACTTATCCAAGGGTGGAAATATTAAGACTGTACTATATCTGTGTATTATATAAGAACTTTAATTTATAATTTTCAATTCTAATATTTACTTAAGCAGATTTAGATGTAATATAGAAATTTTGATTGCACAGAAGTTGAGCATAATGAACAGCAAATTTGGCAGCCAAGGTACGTTAAATATTAATTTTTATTTCTTGACATCTGTGACCACAATTCACTTGGTACTTTAACCCTTGTGGGCACACCTAAAAATTTCCTTCTGTACGCACTGAAAAACTGAATAAAAAAGGATTTGAAAGTTATTATAGGTTACTCTGAACCTTCTTTATTTATAGTAGATGGCAGCTCAACACAAACCAGTCCATAGCCATGTTTATTTTTTTAAGACCCTCATTTTTCAAAGAAATCTTCCAGATTTTTTTTAGGGTATAAAAGGAATTATTTGAAAGGAAATTTCTATGTTATTTTTTGGCAGTATGCTAATCTACTTATTCTATATTAGTTTTAAATTTTTACCTTGAAATCTGGCCTATAATTGAACGGCGAACCGAGGTGTTCCCAGACTGGGCTCACTGCGAGTCTAGGTCACTGAGAAGCAGCTGTATCTTTGTTTCTGTGCAGCTCATTAACATAGAAGGGTGGGTCCAAATCTGTAATTCATTTCCTGTTTTAGTTCTTTTTCTTTTCCCTTTTTTTTGGGGGGGGGGAGGTTTGGTTATCAACTAAGAAATTGTTGGGGTGATTTTCTGAAGATCAGGGATAATTTTACCAGTTAGCTGTTTGGTTTTTTACTAGAGCAGTTCTCTTTAACTTTGTGTTTTTTTACTAGAGCAGTTCTCTTTAACTTTGGTTCAAAGAAGTTTTCTTAGTGCTACGTTTAAAGTTTTGAGTTGTAGACATTTATATTTTTTTTTTATAATTTCAAGTTGTAGCTATAATATTAGTTAATTTTTTTTTTTTTTAATTTTAATTATTTTCCAAAAGGATCGGGAAGGGTTGACCATTTGTAAAGCACTGAGAGTGCTACATGAATTGCTTTCAGATAGTGAATCTGATACGGATCCCAGCACATGTTTAAAACACGCAGTATTGGTTTGTGCTTTTTTAAAGGTGGTGTCACTTTCTTCGAAAAGTACCGCAATGAAAAATATAGACTAAAGTGTAAATATCATATACCCAAGTTACTTTTTTTCCTATCCATAAGCATATAATCATCATATAACCAAAAATGAGCTTTTTAGGGGGTGTAGAGTAGCAGATCTCCCCGCGGCAACACCTTGGGTAATGCTAAATCTGCTATGGTATTCAAGAATCTAGTGCTTTTTTAATCATAGGCAAAATCTCTTAATCTTTTACGCGCTTCCTAGCAATGCTCGTTTCAGCACTCTTTTCGAAGTATATTCAATGAGTGTGCCCGCTTCAGGCACACTCCAAAGAATTAAAACGATAAGTGCTATCTTTACAAAATTTTACTTGTGTCTCCTCTAAGCATAATTAAACAGCCTCTCTCTCTCTCTCTCTCTTTTTTTTTTTTTTAATTATTATTTTTTTTATGAAATTCCAATTTAAAAGGTGTGGGTTAACAGCATCATATATATATCAATTGGAAGAAAATGAGTCAAGGTTCAAAAGATGGGAGGATCATTTTGATTGCTATTAAGAGAATACTATTTACCTCAGTTCTTTTTGGGATGTTTAGTGTTTTTAAGCCAAGCCCTTAGCTAATTAAAGGGTTAATATTGTTGGAGAAAATAGAATGTAAAGTTTTGTTATAATTTTTGTAAATAATATTGGCATACATATTACATGATGATTTAAATATTGAGTTCACATCATGAGAATAAATTTTAAAAAATGCTTTTATAATCTAGGATAGCTTAATATTATCTTTTTACAAATGTAAAAGAAATGGTACTGTAGTATTGATTTAGGATAATATTAAAAATTTTAAATGTGTATTTTTTTCTTTTCTTTTTCAGTGAAGAAAATAAAGATAAAAAAATCAAAAGTGAAGTTAATGGTGCTGCCGTAGCAGTTGCAGCTACACCTACAGCCAATGCAGCACAAACAGTAGCAGCAACAGTTACAGCTCATGATGCTGCAGCATCTTATCAGTATCAACCGTGGACAGGCTATGCTCAAGTAGGTTTTTTTTTTTCCCTCTAAATTCCCTTGCAAATTAAAAAAAGTTTTTTAATTATATTTTCTACATTACAAATAAAGTATTTTTGACAAATAAGTATTATACATTTAGTAATTATTTTTGAAAATTATATAAAAATCATGCTTATTAGAAATTTTGCACATTTCTAAAATTGCAAAATTTAATTTAAATAAATTAATTTATTTAAATGAGTAAAATATTGAACTTTTATTTCCTTCTGATTTTATTTGTATTTTCCCTCCCCCAGAACTCATACTATCAACAGCCGTGGCCACCATATGCAGCAACAAATTATTATTCATCTCACTGAGGTTTTACGAACATTTTTATATGCATTATAAATAAAATCATTTACCATTTTGAATAATTCAGATTTCTGTACATGTTTTCATTTTATTCATTATCATGAAATAGAAATGTCATATATTTTAAATACAGATGTGTTATGTATAATAAAATATTCTCTTGATTTTTTTAAACATGAATTTCCAGCAATCTGTCATTTGTTAGACTGAAATATTTTGTTGTTTTGAAATGAATAATAAAAAAATTGCTACTGTACTGAATTCTGCATTTTTATATTAATGAGTAACTTAAAACATTTGTGAAATTTAATTTGATAGCTTTTTATGCATCTAAGGCTTGCCTAGGGAAGTATTTTTCTCTTTCACTTTTATTGAGAAATGAAGTAGGTTCTTCATTTTACATGTATATATTTATATAAAATGCTTCAATTTTTTTTTTTTTTTTTGTTTTTTGAAATATTGTTCCAGCTTAATGCAAATACTTCACTGCAATGATGCATAAATGAAAACCGATTTTATTTCATTGGTTAGAATTCTCTAAATAACATAACTTTATGGGAAGCAAATTTCTATTTGCATGTAAAAAGTATACATATTGTTTATGCTTGTGGATGTGCATTACAAATATGTCTCTTAATTACAATACCATCAATGATTTTTATAGTGGTTAGTATAATTTTATGTTTATTAATGCAGGTGTCTTGAGAATTGTTGTTTGTTAATATCAATAAAAAAATTATTCATATCTTTGCCTCGTTATTTTTAAGAAATCCAATTGTTTGTTTTGATCTAAAGCCATTAAACAGATCAGCTTCATCTGCAAGTTTAATGCAGATCATTAATGAAAATCGGAAGTTACTAATTCTCAGTAAGTATGTTCTGAATTCATTAAGCATCATATTGTGCCTGGACCCATTTTGATGTGTAATAACTCATAAAATAAAAAAGATAGATTAAAATTAATAACATAAATGGTTAGATAGACTCAAAAAGTTTCATGACCCTTGTCAGGGAATTTTGACACTCTCCTCCTTAAAACATTGTCCTTTACAAATCCCAAAGGAAAAAGTCCATAACATTGCAGTAGTTGCCAAAAACAAAAGAGAGAAAAATGCAATTAATAAGCAGACGATATTTAGAAAAGTACAGATATTTAGACTGGAAAATGAAATTATCTGAAATTAACCACACTCGGAGATGATACTTACAAAAGTAAAGATATTCAAACCTGAAAAGGAAAATATATAAGTTATTCCATCAATAAATGCCATAAGTTTATTTATATCTTCATTATTTTATGAGTTAATAAACATCAAAATGGGTCCAGGATTTTATAAACACCCTGTGTATGTAAAACATCCCAAGGGGATAGATTGTTTATTTAATGGTTATTATATTTTCTTCCCGCCATCTGTTTTGATTGTGTTGCTTATTGACTTGAGAATTTTAATTAACATAACATTTGGCAAATTCAACTATAGATTAACATTAACTTTTTGGGGATGAGGTGACCATCATATTGGTCTTAGTATTCTCTTTTGAAAGCCAGGAATCCCTACTGCTCTTTTTCTCCCGCTTTCAAAGCTGAAAGGTGAGGTGAACTGTCAAATTTGATGTCTGTAGAGTCTTCACCACTTATCACTTTAAGGCCTCTTGTTAGGAATCCAATTTCTCTTTTCATTCTTGCAGCTTCAGAATTTGAAGATGACCTCAATTGTAAAGAGAGCCTTGCAATTCTTTGAAATATTCTGTAATCGAGGGATATTTCTTGGAGTTATTTTGCTTACTTTTATAGCAATAAGCCAAAATGGAAAAAATTTGATGTGTACACCACAACTTGCACGGAAATATTAAATTATACGCATTTTTTCTTGCATTTCATTTAAAAATATTGGATTGCATTAAATCTACATCATCGATAGCACATAAACCACAATAGAATAATTAACAGCGTTACACTTCGTCCATATTATAACTCAGAATTTATAGCATTTGAAGAATTATCTAACGATTGCCACATGTTCTATTCAAATACTATAATAAATCTAAATATACGTATAAAACAAATTAAGCAAACAAAACAAAAAAGAAAGTTTTTCACTGACGATTCAGTATTTTTCATTCAATTAATTCAGTTCTCACTTCCCGACAAGGCAAAAATATATAAAAACTCGAAATATCTACATTAAAAAATTACGAAGTAAATCTGAAACATTTCCTCAAACAAATTCCAGAATAGATTAAACATGATTTAATTCGCAATAATAAAAGATGTCGTTATCTTTGTTGTTGCAAAGCTTAGTTTCTATAGATTGGCAACAAATCCGCTATTTTGCCAAGTTTGAAATGTAAACAAACATGTACGCCATCGCAGAATTCATTAGGCTTAGCTGCATTTAAACAACTTTTAAATTGTGGATATTGCAGGCAGATTCACTAAAGGCATAAAAACCTTAACCGGATGATAAGAACAACACAATTCAATCATTTTTAATGCAAAAAAAATGCACAATTTACAAACATATAAGAATAAAAAAAAAAAAAAAAAACTGAGCTCACTGAGCCAAGTAACAGAGTGGGTATATATTTATATACTCTTGGTGCGGCCGATTGCAACCAAAATATGAGGTGCACATCTACATATTATAGCAGTCCTACATACAAAATTTCAACGTTCTGAGGCTACTCGTTTTTGAGTTATGTGAGATACGTACGTGCTATGAAAAATTCTCTTCAGAATTCATTTTAAACCAGTTTTATAATATTTTTTTTGGGGGGGAAGAGTCCTTTATTTTGTCCTTACTTATGAACGTCATGCAGAAACATCATTAAATTGCATTGGATAGCGGTCAAAATCGATATTTTCGTTAAAATATGATACCTGAAATTTTTCACAATTACAATACTTCCTTTTTACTTCGTACAAGAAAGTAAAAAGGAGTGATTGAATACGAAAGCTTTCACAAGTGTTTGTGAAAAGTTAAATTATGTAACATCATAAACCACAGAATCATAATACTAGAAACCGAAAATAGCAACTGTCCTGGAACCTCTTTCGAAAACTGCACAATTTTCCCCTTCCTATTTGAAAGCATTTTGCCTACAAAAAATTTCCAATACGAAACTTAACGAACAACATATAGTACAAATCAATTTGAACTAAACGCTGCATATTTAAAATTCTGCGAGTTCTGTTAAGCATTTTGTCGACATAAATTTTTAACATGTATTTAGACTTCCATAAATTTTAATATTTCTGAACCGTTCTATGCTTTTAATTATTTATGTAGCATTAACCAGGCGAACGCCGCATCAAGAAAAGTTACTTGAGCAGCCATGTGGGAAACCTGGATTCCTCACATACTCTAATATTTAAAATATGATAAAAAAGTTTTATTTAGTTTTAAAAGAGTTTGTCATTTATTATACATGAATAAACCTTGAGTTACAAAAAATTAATTTAAAAAATTAAGCTTATAGAGTTAAAATAAATGAATATAATAACAAAATAAACAGCGTACCTCTAAGTTTTATTGTATCTCTAATACACAGTGCTTATTTTATCTGTTTACAATTTGAACAAAATACATTAATGTGTTCTTGACACAGAAAGATTTCACATTTTGAACATTTGCATTTGCTTTTTTCTATCCTTAGCTCGAGGACATCTTTTATGTTTAGTTGTTTAGAATTCATTATTCATAGAAAATCCTGCTCTTCTTTTGCAGGTAGTACATAAATTTCTCGGTAATTTAATTTTTGATCGTTGTTCGATATGTTTTTTAATTAGTTCTAATGCTAAATCCTTCAAAAACAGACGTCTGCTTCTATATCTTTTTGGTGGATTAGCAGTTGAAAGCAATATAATTCGAACGTATATTGCAGCAGTATTCAGTGCAGAAAAGAAAATTACCATTAGCCACCTCCTTGTTATTCTGGCAATTGAATAACTTGCTGCCATTTCATGCACCATATCTACTGCTCCCTTAGTCATATTATAAAGACATATAATTTCTGGTATTTTTTTTTTTTTTCCAGTAGTAACATCTGTAGCATCATCATTAACATAAGAACAGTTTTTCCTTTTTTTAGGAACATAATAAATTTATGTTTTATCTTTTTCAAAACCCAAAAGAGTAGAAAAATATTTCCCTTTCTTTAAAAGTAACAAAAGCAGGAAATAATTTCCCTTTTGTTTTCCATATTGTTCCTACTATTCTCAGCTTTTCTCTTAGAAGATCCGCAGCTAGTGTGTAACTCGTATACCAATTATCTGTAGTAATATTCCTGCCAGATATATACAGTGGTTGAATTAAGTCTTTTCACGTCAGATGGACTGGTACTGATCTTGAAGGTACCATCTGGCTCTGTATGAGTGCTATTTGAAAAGTTTTCGACTTAACTAAGAAAATTTTTTTTTTTTCTCAAAAATTACTTTTTGACGTAGTCTCCTTGTAAGTCTATCCCATCCCTTTAATCCATCCAAATATGTAGAATCTTTCTCTGCAAAATAGTTATTAACGAAGTTCATAAACTTCTTTGATGAAAATCTTTGTCCTCTGAGTGCTTCTTTTAGCTTTATGGGACAAAAAAAGTAGCTTGGGGCCAGTAGGGCAGGTGGTCAAGCAGTTCAAACTGTAATTCGTGGATTTTTACCATTGCAACTATTGAAGTGTAACGGAACATTGCTTAATGAAGCAAAAAATTTTTTTTCTTTTGAAAATGTTGTTTTTCTGAAATTTCTGCCTTTAGCTTGTCAAGTAGTGTTGCATAATATGCTCCGGTAATGGCTTTTCCCTTTTCAAGATAACCCATTAAGACAATTCCATGGCTATCCCAGAAAACCATTGCCATCACCTTCCAGAGCAGAAGAAACAGGTTTGCCTTTTTTGGAGCTGATTCTCCCTTTGCCGTCCACTGTTTTAACTGTGTTTTTGTTTCTGGGCTGTAATCATGAATCCACATTTCATCTATAGTGATTAATCATCGAAGAAACTCAAATTTATTACGCCTGAATTGCACCAACAGAGCGATGCAGATGTTCATTCAAACACGTTTTTGATCCAAAAAGAGCAAATGTGCAGCCAGCTTGCACATACCTAAATCTTGGTTCAGTATGTGGCAAACACATTCATTTGACATGCTCATAGCCTCTGCTGTCTGTCTAACCTTCACTCGACAATTGTCCAGCACCATTTGGTGAAGTTCAGCGATGTTTTCGTCAGTGGTTGCAGTTTTTGGCCGTCCTGAATGTTCATCGTCACCCAAGCTGGTACAGCCATGTTTAAATTCAGCTGCCCAAAATTTCACAGTAGTAAATGATGCTGCAGTCTCCGCGTACAGCATCCAACTCCTCTTTAATCTATCTAGGCATATTACCTTTTAAAAACAAGTAACTTATGACAGCTCGGTACTTGATTTTTTTCCATTTTTACAAAAACACTCACAGAAATAACTGTCAAACACCTCGCGTTTAAAATGGCCGAAATTGCGGTTGGTGGTTTTCCAAACAAGTTCGTGCACTTTCATTGATTAGTGCTGCCATCTACATATCGAGGGTGGAAACGTTTCAGACAGCCCTCGTACTGCAGTACATTTTCATAATTAGAAGTATTAAAATCTTGATTCCATGTTTTGCTTGTTTGTTCGGCACTTATTGCTGGAACCCAAAAAGGTTAGAGTTTCTCATCAATACTGACATACTAAAATTATAGGAATCCTTGCAATTTGAAATCAGTTTTTCAA